GTGGGGGATTCCAGGTGGAATCTGGCAGAGGCCCTGAATTGAGAAGACAGGGCTGAGAGTCTGGGAGGACCAAGGAGTCTGGAGTTCTAGAGAGGAGACAGCTGTACTCACATAATTCCCGAGGTCTGCAGTCAGCTCCCCACCAGCAGTCAGCTGAATACTGTCTGGCTCCTTCAAGTGAGGGCAGTGACCCAGGCCAGAAAAAAAAAAAAAAAAAAAAACATCTGAAAAGGGTAGAGGTATAAGTGTGTGATACTTATGCACATCAAGGAGAGTGCTTGTACAGCAGGCAGCCTGGAAAACTTTATGATTCATGGGACATCTGTCTTACCTCAGTAGTGGGGAAAAATTAGCTCTTAACGAGGCACTGTTTGGGTTGCACTTAAATGTTAAAACAAGATGTATGGGTGGTGACACACACCTGTAAGCCAGTTTCTTGGGACTTGCAATCTTCCTGCTCAGTCTCCTAAGCCTGGGATTATAGGCACGTGCCCCTGTATCAGCCCATTTTTAGCTACTTGGGAGGCTGAGGCAGAAGGATCACAAGTTTGAGTCCAGACTTGGCTATTCAGCAAGACCTTGTCTCAAGAAACAAAAAGGGGGTTGGGGCTAGGGCTCAGCAGTAGAGCACCCACCTAGTGCGTGTGAGGCCCTGGGTTTGATCCTCAGCACCACATAAAAAGAAAATTAAATAAAGGTATTGTGTCCAACTACAACTAAAAAATAAATATTAAAAAAAAAAGAAAAAAAAGGACTAGGAATGTAAATAGTGGTTAAGTGCCCCTGGTATCCCACCCCACCAAAACAACAACAACAACAAAACCCAGAAACCAAAACTGGGAACTGGGGATGTAGCTCAGTGGTAAAGTGCCCCTAGGTTCGATTCCCAGTACCAAAACAAAACCCCAAACAGAATATGTTTAGAAATTCCAAAATACAAGAGAAGAAAGGAAGGATGAGGAAGGAAGGAGAAAGGAAAGGAAAGGATGAAGAGGAGGGAGAAGAATAAAAAGGAGAGAGGAAATACCTGAAAAGGAAAATTCACAGATTCCACAGTGTCTGACATACAATCAATAATAACCAGACATTTTATCAAGAGAAAAATAGATTAATCAAAATCACACAGATTGCCAGGCATGGTGGTGCAAGTCTGTAATCCCAGTAGCTCAGGAGGCTGAGATAGGAGGATTGTGAGTTAAAAGCCAACTTCAGCAAAGGTGAGGCACTAAGCAACTCAGTGAGAYCCTGTTTATAAATAAAATACAAAAATTGGGCTGGGGATGTGGCTCAGTGGTTGAGTGCCCCTGAGCTCAATCCCCAGTACCAAAACAAACAAACAAAAACAGAAAAACAACAAAAACAAACAAAACCCATAGATGTTAAAATTAGACATGGAATTTAAAATAGTTACTGTGTTTCACATATTTACAAGGTCAAGTAGTGGTATAGAAGATATAAAAAAGATCCAAGTATAACTTCTAGTTGGGATAGGATTAATGGTGGATTAGACATTTTTAGAAGAAAAGATTAATGAACTAGAAGACCACTAGGAAGTGAACACCAGGAACTGTCCTTTTTTGGTATGTGATCACATACATAACTATGTATTTATCAAAACTCATGCAACTGTACATCAAAAAGAGTGAATTTTAATATATATAAACTTTACTTCACTAAATCTTACAAAAAGTAATTCTTCGAATATGATATCTGAAATTTACTTGAAAATAATACAAAAGGCAAACAAATGGGTAGAGATGTAGATAATATAAGATTGGCTATCAGTTGATGTGTTGAAACTGAGTGTTGGGCGCTATTCTGTCTGCTTCTGGGTATGTCTGAAGTTTTCTCTATAAAGAAAAAACAAAACACCGCACTGAGGATGTAGCTCTGAGGTAGAGTATTTGCCTAGTATTCCTGAGGCTGTGGGTTCAATCCTTTTCACTACAAAAACAAAACAAACAAAAGCCCATAAATGCTTTAGGTTGGATTTTTTATTTTTATTTTATTTTATTTTATTTTTTTCTAGGAGTTCACCTTTTTTTTTTTTTTTTTTTTTTAAGAGTGAGAGAGAGTGAGAAAGAGTGAGAGAGAACTTTAATATTTATTTCTTAGTTTTTCGGCAGACACAACATTTGTTTGTATGTGGTGCTGAGGATCGAACCCGGGCCTCACGCATGCCAGGCGAGCGCGCTACCGCCCGAGCCACATCCCCAGCCCATAGGTTGGATTTTTAGACTCTCTAGAATCTAAACTCTATGAAGACAGAAGTTTTTGTCTTGTTTTGTTAGTTGCTCTATCCCCAAAGCCTGGAACAGTGACAACCACAGTAAATATTTTTAGAATAGATAAATGAGGGATTGTTTCTCTTCAGTTTCTCTCTCTCTTTCTTTCTACTACTGGGAATTGAAAACTAGGGGTGCTTTACCACTGAGCTATAACGCCAGCCATTTTGTTTTGTTTTGTTTTGTTTTGAGACAGGGTCTAGCCCAGGATGACCCCAAATTTGGGATCATCCTGTCTCAGCCTCCTGACTGGCTGGGATTACCTATGTTCACTGTGCCTAGCTCAGGTTTTTCATTCCAGCATTGGATCCTGGAAAGTACTTATGGAAAGACAGCAACCAAACTTCATGAACTTTATGCACTACCCACCCTAGGGTCTGATACTCACTTGCAATACAATAAACAGTTTTGAATATGATTGTCCATATCCCACCAATGAGCTTGGGGATGTTTGATTTATTAATTGATATAACACTTGTTTGGGAGTCACATATTAGAACCTTAATTCAAAATTATTTATTATTTTTTATTATTATTTTTTTTGTACCAGGGAATGAATCCATGGGTGCTAAACCATTGAGCCACATCTCCAGCCCTTTTTATACTTTATCTTGAGACAGGGTCTTCCTAAATTGCTTAGGGCCTTGATAAATTGCTGAGGGTGGCTTTGAAATTGTGATCCTCTTGCCTCAGCCTCCTGAGCTGCTAGGATTACAGGTGTGTGCCACTGGTTAGATCTTAGGAAGATTGCATCCCCTTTTAGGCTCAATAAGGTTTTAAGTGCATATGTGTGCATATGTGCTTTTTTTGGGCAGTACTAGGGATTGAACTCAGTGGCACTGAGCCACATCCCTGGCCCTATTTTGTATTTTATTTAGAGACAGAGTCTCATTAAGTTGCTTAGCACATCACTTTGGCTTTGAACTCATGATCCTCCTGTCTCAGCCTCTTGAGCTGCTGGGATTATAAGTGTGCGCCATCACACGTGGCTCATATGTACATTTTTTCTCATTCTTGGAGGCATCTATAAACCCAAAACATTGTGAGTCTTTCTTTTTCCTCCCCTCCCCTCCCCCTCCCCCCCTCCTCCTTTTTCTTCTTTGATACTAGGATTAAACTCAGAGGGGCCTACCCACTGAGGCACATCCCCAGTTCTTTTTATTTTTTATTTTGAGATAGGGCCTTGCTAAGTTGCAGAGACTGGTCTTGAATTTGCAGTCCTCCTGTTCCGGCCTCTCGAATTGCTGGGATTACAGGCTTGCACCACCACACCTGGTAGTATTGTGAGCCTATGGTGGGTGATCTTTAAAGTTCATTCCTTCCATTCACTCAACAAATATTAATTGAGTGTCTACAATGGCTGAAACTGGAGATTCAATGACAACCAAGACAAAAATGAGTTCCCTGAGATCTCATGGAAATTATTCATGCAAACAGGAGATATACAACAGATTTGGGAACCAAAACACTTCATATAATGGTTAACTTGCATGAAGGAAATAAAGCAGGCAATATATCAAGTGACTTGGGGGGAAGTGTGAACTTCTGGTGATTCATGGAGGGTCTTTGCTCAGAGGTGATAATTCTAACCTCAGAATGTGACCTTATTTAGAAATGGAGTCTTTGCAAATGTGATTAGTTGAGATGACATACTAGAATAGATAACAGGAGAGGACACACCAAAGGTCATCTGACACAGATCTGAAATTGGAGTGGTGAAGCTACAAGCCAAGGCACACCTAGGATGGAAAGCCACTACCATAAACAAGGAAAGATTCTTCCCAGAGACTCAGAGGAAGCACGACCCAGCTGACACCTTGATTTCAGTCTTTCAGCCTGAAATACACTTGAGAGAAATACATTTCTATGGTGTAGGCCACCTAGTTTGTGGTACTTAAATCATCCAGTTTGTAGTTACCACAGCCCTAAGAAACTAATACAGGTTTCAAATGAACTGAGACTCTGGTCATGAGAAAGGGGGAACTATATGAGGATTTAGAGGGAAGAGCATTCCATGCAAGGCCAGGAGGACAAAAAACAATGGCTGGAGAGCAAGATCTGTCATCAAGGTAGGAGATGGGACTGAAAAGACAGGTTGGGACAGATCTTGTAATTTTGCAGAGGAGGGAATGTAACTGGATTAAATTAGTTAGGAGGATGTTGTGTCAATCAGCGAGTGACAGAAACAACTGTTAAGAGTCACCCAATGTCTTAGAGGGCAGGAATCTAGAATGTATAGGTTGCAATAAATAATAATATGAAATGACAGGCTTCCCTGCCCTGTCCCCAACCTTGCTACATGGTCATTGTCAACTAGCATTCCAGGGCACTGGCCATGGGCCAGGTTAGCAAGGTTAAAGGGTACTGGTGGTAATAGTGAACTTTCATCTCTCCCCAAATCTTTTTAACCCCCACCAGCCACGCTTCCCAAATCACAACCTAAGTAACATTAGCTCTGTAAAAGCAAAACTCCTCAGGCAGCCCGTCCGAGAAGAGAGGGATCCTGGAGGCGCCGAGATACTCCCAAGGGGGCAGCGGCAGACACAGCTAAGCCCAGGAAAACGACTTAGTACGGGGCGGGCACTCTGAGCGCAGTACGGAGCTGAGAGGCGTGTGCGCACGCGCAGAGCCCCGTCTCTCAGGCGAGGGGGTGGGGCGGGCGCCGGGGCGGGGACCGTGACGTCAGGTGTGCGCGTGGCTYTGGCTGCGCAGGAACAGCTGGTGCTTCTGAAGGCGGCCGACTGGCGGGCGGGCGTGGGGTGTTGGTGGTGGCGGGGCAACGCTGCGGGAGCAGCCTCGGCCGCCACCGCCTTGCACCATTGCACCATGTCGGGGCAGCTGGAGTGTTGCGAGCGCGAGTGGCACGAGCTGGAGGGAGAATTTCAGGAACTGCAGGTAGGGCCGGACCACCTAGTCCCGCAACTCTGCTACTTGCGGTGCAGTGTCTTCCCCTTCCTTCCCTCCCGCGGAGCCGGGGAGGTGGGGCGACTGGGGACCCGGAGTGCTCCTGGTTAGCCCCTGGGCGCTGATGGTCTGCATGGACCAACCCCCTCCCATCTCCCAGCGTTTCAGTTCTTTACCCTCCTGAGGCGCCCTGTCGAAGACCCCATTCTCCTTCCATCTCACCTGCTCTTTGCTCTGAGTACCTTATTCGCTGTAGAAAGTTGGTCTGTGGCCTCCGAAAGCAAATTCCAGGTTGTGCCCATGTGGATCAAGTCTGAAGAGGCCGGTAGGTGCTAGGGTTCAAAGGGAACAGCTCAGCACCCACTGCCTCAGGGGTCTCTCCTAATGCCACCCACCATATCTGCTTTCAGCAGCTTGATCACTCCTCTCCCTCTGGCAGGGCAGCTCTCTCCTTCTGCAGCTCCATTTTGGGAGATGTGTTTGGGAGCAGTTCACCTTGAACCCCTAGACTGTGCTTGGGGATTAGGGATCCCCATTTCCTGTCTTTGGGAACTCTAGTGTGATGCCTGCCTCTCTAGGCTGCTGCAGATTGTGTTTGTGTTGTGGTTGGCACTTGTCAGTTCTGACAGCTGGGCTGCCTCACCCAGTCATAGAGGCTGCACCCAACCTCACCTTTCTGGCCCAGAGCTGTACTCAGGTGGGGTGAGGGTGGGTGTATGATGCATCCCTTAAGAGAAGGACATTGCTGGCAGGAGTCCCATCGGGAGCTTTGTTCCTGATAGAGGCCTCAGCTACCTACTTTGATGACTAAAGATGCCCCAGGAAATCTTGGTGATAGACCAAGAAGGACCCAGGGACTATATTTGATGTTCATTCTCCAACCGCAGGGTTTTTTTTCCCCAGGGGTTATGCTTTTTTTGCATGAAATCACATCACACCCCTATTCCACTCCCCTCCTCTCTTCAGTTGGAGGACTGACATTTTTCCTGTCCATGTAGCTATTGTCTGTAGTTGGGTTACACTGTCCAGAGGAGGTGAGAGGAGGTAGCCAAGGGTGTGATGGGCCTTTCTAAACATGAAACTGTAGGTCCCAATCAGTGGATAGGGGGTGCTGGGAAGCCTGGGCAGGAAATGAGGTGCTGTTTCAGCCATGTGTAGAAGAGAAGGTACCCAGGACTGTCATCCCTTTCTTGGCTTCCAGCATATGTGGATTGGTACCTTCTCTTCAGGTCTAGAGCTTGGATTCCTCCTGGTTCTTAGGGGACACTTTTGGTTCCACCTTCGTGCAGAAGACTAATTCTGCTTTTTTAGAGATGTATATTGCCCAGTCTGGCCTTGAACTCTTGGGCTCAAGTGACCCTCCCACCTCAGCCTCCTCAGTAGCTGGGACTACAGGTGCATGCCACCATGCCCAGCTCAGCAACAACAACTTTTACTTATTTTTTTGGTACTTGGAATTGAACCCAGAGCACTCGGTGGAGCTACATCCCTGGCTTTTTTAATTTTTATTTTGAGACAGGGTTTTGCTAAGTTGCTGAGGCTGGCCTCTAATTTGCCATCTTCCTGCCTCAGCCTCCAAGGCACTGCTATTACAGGCGTGCACCACCACGCCTGGCTCTCTATGTCTTAAGGCTTTGTCCCACTGAACTCTAAGCTCATGTCCAGCCATGGAGTCACAGAGTAAATCTTAAGGTCAGGAGCAGAAAAGAAGAAGAGGTGTGCTGTGTGGAGCTTTTGTTGTTGTAACTCCTTTCCTTTGCCCTGCCTCAGACTAGGAGGGGGTGGGGGGGGGGAGGAGAAGGAGCCTTAAACTTCAGAGCTATGCAATTATTGCAGTTAACAGCAATTAGAAAGCAAGTCTTGGCAGGCAGAGGTTGCAAAGTAGTCCTTTGATTTGTTGTTATGTTCCTTTTGATGTCTTGGATGCTCAGGTGTGTCAGGGACAGAGGCTTTGGGAACCAAGTCTGGACTTTATTCCTTGGTGTTCAGCAAGGGTTGTAGTGGAAAGAATGACAGCTGCTCAGTTCTGTAGAGATGGTAGACTGGATCTTACTTTGGGGAAGAGGTTACAGGCTGGTTACAGGTTTTGGTGGTCAGCTGTTGGGTCAGAGGCTGGTGACAGATGGCTTCCTGGGGGTCCAGATCATTGACTGGCCAGGCATGGTGGCTCATGCCTGTAATCCCAGTGACTCAGGAGGCTGAGGCAGGAGGATTGTGAGTTCAAGGCCAGCCTCAGCAAATTAGTGAAGCCCTAAGCAACTCAGTGAGACCCTGTCTCAAAATAAAATACAAAAAAAAAGGGCTGGGGATGTGGCTAAGTAGTTAAGTGCCCCTGGGTTCAATCTCTAGTACAAAAAAAAAAAAAAAATCATTGGAGCAAAGCACCACCTACATCTTTAATTCACAGATGAGGAAGCTGAAGCTTGGACATGCTCATTGATTGAGCTGGCCTCACACAGCTATTTAGTGGTAAAATTAGTTCTTCACATGTTGGGAGGCTCCTCTCTGTCTTCTATACTTCTGAGATCTCTGAACTCCTGGTCTGAAAGTCCCTGGAACTGCATGTAATGAGTCGGGTGTGTGTTGTGAGTGTATTGGACAGAGACTCTGACCTGAGACAGTGATTGAGGAACAAGGAGGTTACACAGGGAAGGGTGAGGTTAGAGGTTACAACTAAGAAGGTAAACAATTAGAAAGGACTTTTTTTTGCACCAGAAAATCCTCGTCAGTCGAAATTTTCCTACATCTGCCTGAGAATCTGGGATTTGGGGGTTTCATGTTTGCTTCTGTCTGATTTTGGTGTCTTTGTGTTTTATCTGTTTCTCTTTTTGAAATGAAGGAAAGAGGAAGCCCAATTCTCAGACTCTGGAGGATTTGAAAGGTCATTGGAACTCCCCCTCCTTCACAGAAAGCCCCAACAAGGCCTGGGACTTCTAGCGGAATGTTTTCTAGAGAATCAGTTTTCTTCAGGCTTAATTTGCATCTGGCCTTAACTGGATTCTGGGGAAAGTTGTTGCCATGACGATGTAGTTTTTGGGCAGTTGGGTTTTGGCCAATCTGGTGAATTGATTATCAGCCTGAGAACCTGGCCTTCTGACCTGTGGTGTGACCACAGAAGGTCAATTATCAACTCGTGGCAGGTAATTTTTTTTTTTTTATACTTTTTTTAGTTCTCGGCAGACACAACATCTTTGTTGGTATGTGGTGCTGAGGATCGAACCCGGGCCGCACGCGTGCCAGGCGAGCGCGCTACCGCTGAGCCACATCCAGTTCCTTTTTTATATCCCTGGAAACCTGACCCTGTCCCTCCCAGCATAGGAAGAAATAGTCTAAAGCAGCCTTTCCTAAATCCCGACCTCACAGGGTGACAGGGACCTTATAAAGACCTTGACTTTTTACTGACAGTGAAGTGGGCATCTCTCTGGCTGCTGTATATAGAATACACAGGGAGGGGCTGGGGGTTATATCAGTGGGAGAGTGCTTGCCTAGCATGCATGAGGCCCTAGGTTCCATTCCCAGCACTGCCAAAAAAAAAAAAAAAAATACAGGGAGGTGGGCTAGAGGCAGGAAGTTCAGTACTATCTCATTAAAACCTCATAAAACAGATCCTATTACCCCACAGTTGCACTTTTACTGTCAGTTGAAGTGAGTATCTCTCTGGATGCTGTGTATAGAATATACAGGGAAGGTCTGGGGTTATATCAGTGGGAGAGTGCTTGCCTAGCATGCATGAGGCCCTAGATTTCATTCCCAGCACTGCCAAAAAAAAAAAAAAAAAAAAAAAAATACAGGGAGGTGGGCTAAAGGCAGGAAGTTCAGTACTATCTCATTAAAACCTCATAAAATAGATCCTATTACCCCACAGTTGCACTTTTTACTGTCAGTTGAAGTGGGCATCTCTCTGGCTGCTGTATATAGAATACACAGGGAGGGGCTGGGGATGAATAGGGGAGTATATACCCCCACTTACTACTCCTATTACAGATATCACTAATCGATCCTAGCACATGACTCAGAACCTTTCTCAGTAGAGAATCAATATATTTCATGTGAACTCAACTTGCCAACCCGGGTAGTGTTTCTATGGTGACAGGTCCTAGTTAAGYATAGACAGCATCCGAAAATCTATTCGAATATGATTTCTTAGAAAGCAAGCTATATAAAAGTAATCTCATGAAAATTTACTACCAGCAAAAAGCACATCAGAAGGCACCACACTTTGGTGGTAGCCATGGCTCTGTTGTAAATTACCAGATTGCTACCTTCTAACACTCTTTGGCCAGAGCCCTGTTTGTAGATTCCATGAGATTCCTGTCTGGCAATTCTTTTTTTAAAAAATATTTTTATTAGTTATTGATGGACTTTATTGATTTATTTGTTTTATATGTGGTGCTGAGAATCAAACCCAGTGCCTCACACATGCTAGGTAAGTGCTCTACCACTCTACCACTGATCTACAACCCCAGCCCATGTGTGGCAATTCTTACAAGAAATGTTGACTCCAGAGGTTTGAGTCCCAYGTTCTGGATCTCATGACCCAGCCTAGTTGTGTTAAGAAGGTGCTGCCAGATGTTTCACAGCCTTGCTGGGACCTGGACTCATTAACCTCACCTTCCCTCTGGGGTGGAGTGTGGGACCTCAAAGGACAGGGGAGGTGGCAGAACTCCCATCATCCTATGTTGGAAACTTGCTTGTTTGTGTTTCCTACATATGGAGAATGGTAATTAGACATGCAGGAAAGATGCAAGGGACATCACAACTCACAAAGCTGATGTTAGCACAATTCCTTTTATTTTTTTTCCTAATCCAAATGGAATCCTATCTACATTTTTATAAATAATATATATACGTACAGTTAAAAACTTTGTAGCAGATCTGTACAATAATGTTTATGACTGAACATGCAGAGTAGAGGTATCAATAGAATAAACTGGATATATATATATATATATATATATATATATATATATATATATATATCCAGTTGTAGA